AGCTATTACCCACAAACTTGCATATGATTTTTTTGCTTGAGCTTTTTCCATTTGTTTGTCAGTGGAAATGGAAAACAAGACTGAAAAATGTATCTTGATATTCTTGGTTTGCTTTTATTTCTCTATCCATCATTAATAAATCCTAAATGTTTCAATACTAGTAAATAAACAGGAATGTCACATGCATCTAACCCTTATCTTATATTACAAATTCAGCATAGCTTTGCTGTCAAGATGTCCTCCCCCACCTTCATCCTTTTATCTACTGTTTTGACTTTTCTATTCCCTCTTATATGATGATAGCCTCCTCCGCAGCCTGGCTCAACCTTTTCCTGAATTCTCATTTGTTCGAGAATTCAATTCCCTCCTACTAAATCTGTTTACCCCTCCTCTGCTTGTTCTCATAATCCCCTTTATCTCTCTCCTTAGCTCTTGTTTTTTTCTCCTCTTAGAACACTGTCAAAAAACCCCATAACCTTTACCACCTTTCCCTGTTGCTTGTCATTTTTGGTGATCTAGGACATTTTATTACACAGATTAGGTTATTTTATATAATATATAGTTATATTACCAATCTAATCATCATTATCTTATTTCTTTATCATTTTTAGTTAGTATTTAAGATGCCTACTGTTGTTTTAATAATTATGAATGACTGAATACAAATGTAAATAGGAAAGATAGACATTCATTGGCTGTCCTAACATTGGCTATACTAAAATAATATATCAGCAGTTACTGGGTGAAAATCCACTCAATTATTACAAAGTTACCATTGAGTACATCATTTAATTGGTCGCCTGGACTGTGGTTTAGTACAGTAGAGCAATTGAACACCATCAAAATACATGAAACCAAAATCGTTCCCCTTTTTTAAATTTTATTTAAAATATGAATGACATATTTTCAACAATCTTGTCTCTTTTTCCTTGGAAAGACAGAGAATAGGAATACATCCCAAAATGTCAAACTACTAAAATAAGAAATATTAGAGTAGCTCAGCTTAGCATAGATCAACACTTGATGCAGAAGGAAACGGATAACCTACAGTAGCTCTGTCCAAATGTTCCTTTAGAACTCACAAATAAACACAGCCTTGTTTTATAGTAAACCAATGTCACCCCATCTAGTTTCAAATTTGACAGACCAATATGACACTTCAATCAATATTCCTAGAGTCCCAGGGGTGCCCAACCAGTCGATCGCGATCGACCGGTCGATCGCGGGGAGATTCCGAGTCGATCGCGAGATGTGTCTAAAAATAGAACAACAATATTCTGTTTTATCGTTAATGTCCTATAACATAATCTTCCTGTGTCAGAATAATGCACTTGAACGCATCAAAGCTTTGTGATTGGCCGGCGTGACCCCATGTGTCGGGGCGTGGCTGGTGGGCAGTGGGCACTATTTCGCTGACGTTGTCGGTGTCAACAGGAGTGCCAGTCCGCACACACACAAGACCGCAATTATGGCAGAAGCAAAAAAGCCAAACATATATAATTTTCACTCCGAGTGGGGGGATGATTATTTGTGTATCTATTCAAATTCAAAGTCCATCTGTCTCATCTGCAATGCGAGCGTGGCTTTATCGAAGAAGGGTAATTTAGGAGCGGCATTTACGACGGAATTCCCTCCTAATTCTGCCCTACGCTCCCAAAAGGTGAGGGACCTGAAAGGACAGCTAAATGCACAGCAGTCCATTTTCACCAGGCCCAACAACAAGAGCAAGGCTGCTACCATAGCATCTTATCGTGTCAGTCACGTTCTTGCGAAACACATGAAGTCTTTCCAGGCTGAAATGACTGAGGGGGCTGTTCAAAAATCCTAGGGGGCGACTTTTTTTTCACAACAACGAAAAATACTGGCAATGTAATGAATTGACACACCAAGTTTTTTTCATTCTCACTGCTCTACAATCTCTTTGCTTCTTTATTTGTATTCTGGATTGACCCCTCTCATTCTGTTCTTTTCCTCTGATCTTTAATAATAGATAGTACATTATTAGATGCCTGCACTTTGTTAGTCACGTTAACAGACTAACATTGATTTCCTCAATTTATAAATGGACAGGCTCTGTAATTATACCATAACCTTTTCTCCTCTATCCCTTAACTCGTCTTCCTATACAGATTTATTTACTTACTATCTACTCTAGTCATGTCAGGATTAAAGACAAATTAATCTGTTTTTTTTTATTTTCAGGATTGAATGTTCAAACCAAGACCTAAAACCTGGCATTCCATAAGAAAGTGACTAATATATAAACCAAATGTAATATTGGATCAAATACTACACCAAATGGACAGACACAGATTAAAAATCCGTCACTAGATGTCGCTCATTGTACCAATACGGTTTATATAATAACATATTATTATTATAGTAAAAGGGCTCGCTTTGGCAAAAACCTGATCCATACAGGCAGCCCTAAATAATAACAGGTAAGCATCATGTGTGGTGCTATCTGTAGTTGTCTTATTTTTTGTCGATTTCATCTTGTTTTCACAGAGCTGTGGAAATGAATTTCCCCCTGGGGACAATAAATCTAATCTAAACTAATTTAATATTCAATCCCACACTTGGCGATTGAGAACATACATTCGTAATTTACCTTGTTTAAATCACTTTTGTTCTAATACTATGGATTTAGTTGACACTACTAGCCGACTTTCTTTTGTCCAATATTTTGCGGGAAGGTACATTGAATTAGAAGCTTCTTATTATACATCCATGGGTAGAAGAAGAAGAAGTAGAGGTAGAAGAAGTAGAGGTAGAAGAAGAAGAAGTAGAGGTAGAAGAAGAAGAAGTAGAGGTAGAAGAAAAATAAGTAGAGGTAGAAGAAGAAGAAGTAGAGGTAGAAGAAGAAGAAGTAGAGGTAGAAGAAGAAGAAGTAGAGGTAGAAGAAGAAGAAGTAGAGGTAGAAGAAGAAGAAGTATTAGAAAAATAAATACACTAACGCTACAAACAGGCACAACACTGTTACTCTGTTTTACTGACATATAACATTTTATTTCACCTTGCTCTATGTTTTTTAATGCACATTCCGAAAATGGGGACACATGCTAACATTAATTAAGACTACAAGCTCACTTGGGGTTGAGGCTTGTTTACACGTTGCTTGACTGCCTGCCCACATATCTGATCTAATTATAGTAACGTGTGTTGGGGAAAATAATTATTTAAAGTTATTTAATAATTGTGACATTTATTTAACTTTTCGATGGCTGAATGATGCTCAAAGTGAGGGGGCAAATAAAACAACTTAGGGGGCGATGCCCCCTTTTGCCCCCTCGTGGCGCCAGGCCCGAGTCTTTCAAAGACGGCGAAGTTGTGAAAGAAGCATTCCTGGAGGCTGCCGACGCGCTTTTTGGGGACAGTAAAAATAACAGTAGCATTTCAACAGGTTTTTGATATAATAAAAACTCAAGTTAGATACCGTTATTAATCAGCTGTAAGTTTTTGTTTGTTTGAACTTATTCATTATAATTATTGTACAAAATGGTATAAGATAAAGATAAAGGTTATAGTCTATTATCAATTCAGGTTAAGAAACTAGTGTTGCTTGCATCCTATTTTAAAAGGCATTTATTTTTATACTCTACTAAATGCAACAAAAAAAGTGTTTGATTCTATTAATTTTGTCTTTTTTATTGCACTTTGGCAGCAGATTCCTGTGTAGCTTCAGATCTGAGTTGTCTTATTAGTAAGCCTAATTTATACTTTTGTAGCAACACTACTCAGTTTTACACAAGTAGAAGTGTGTATTTACCTGGTAGTAGGCTGTCAGTAATGGCTACGCCTGGACGCTTGTGGCGCGTTTCCACTGCAGCGGGGTAGCCCCGTTTAAGCGTCCCTAAGCGTCCTCGGGCTGCCTCGCTGGCCGGCCCAGGCCGTGGCGCATTTCCATTACAGTTTAGGACCTGGGGTAGCAACGCAGTGTAGGCGGGGCGATCGGCTTTGTTTTTGTTCACATTTCGAGTTGTTCCGTCGAGCTCCCGCTGGATTTGATCATCCCCAATGAGATGTAGGAACGTCGTCACCTCCTCGGTCGACCACGGTGTGCTTTTCTTATTAGACGTAGCCATTGTTGTAGCTCATCCGTTTACAAAATGCTGTTTATAAAAATGCTGCAAGCTTGCTTCTAAATATATATGCGACGCTAGGGATGAACTCGCGCGCGATCTTGTGACGATTCTCTCTGACCAATCAGCAGTCGAGAGTGTTGACGTCACTAGTTCAGCCCTGGCCCTGGTCTGAGGGAACCACGATTTTATGAGGCCGGAAAAAGAGGGAAAAAGTACCCGCTGGCCGGTACTAGGCTATATGGAAACGCCACCAAAAACCGGCCTGGCCGCTTGAGGACGGTTAAGGACGCTTAAACGGGGCTACCCGCTGCAGTGGAAACGCGCCATTGGATTGGTAGATCTCGGCAGACTGGCAACTTTAAAAGTAGCTCTCGGTTCAAAAAAGGTTGGGCACCCCTGTCCTAGACTAAGGTAGGTTAGCATAAATGTGGTACGAAGGAAGAAAAGCTAGCCTGGCTTGTTTTGTCAAAGTGAAACATGAACACAATCTGCCTACAAGCTCCTCTAATACTCAAATTGTAGGTGTGATTTGTATAATCCATACAAAAACCAAAGAGTCAAAATAATGCTCAGCTAATGATGTTAAGCTAACGTTAGCTTCATGATTAACAGTCTACAACAGTATCTGGCTTTCCATCAAATTCATAAAAATAAATAATAAGTAAAAGAGTAAGTTAAGAAAAAAAAAAAATGTATTTTGAAATGTACTTGTTTGAAATGTTCCTAAATATCCTGGAATAATTTACATCTGTTCTCGTCTACTGTATTTAGGCAGGACATTGATTTCATGTCTGAAACTAAATAGTTTTAGTTTCCTTAAAAGTTATCATGTGTGCTCGGTTTTCATAATTTTGAGACCGTTCTGCTATTAGTGAAAATTGTCTCACTTTCATGTTAAAATATATTATGCACTCTTTAGTCTGGTAGCGACAGCAGTGTGCACTCAGTCCCAGTGAGAGGTTTTGGGAGTTGGCTGATCTCTCTCCAATGATCTTTCTTCGTATCGTACTCCAACACACTTTTTACAGTCACCTCTCGTCCATCACTCCATCTCCTTCCACCAAACACCAGCAGATTCCCAGACATCATTGACACCATCCCGTAATTGAAGGAGCCAATGAGAAGTGGTCTGAGGCGGGTCCAGTTGTCCACCTGTGAATCATATTTTTCAATATCGCAGAAAGGCTCGTACATTCCCAGCAAGGCGTAGATTTGGCCTTGGGCGGTTGCTAGACGGTGACTGAACCTGGCGATGGACATTGACGCTCGCTTCTCCCAGACTCTTCCCTTGAGGTCCCAGAACAGTACTTCTCTGCTGCTCTCTCTTTGTTCATCCTGGTAATCACCATGGTTACTACCGTCCTGGTTGCCTGGCAGACCACCTGACACGTAGATGCCGTTATTAAGCACAGCAGAAGCGTGCCCGTAAAGGGGACAAGGCAAAGTTGCTCCTCTTCTCCATGTTCCTGTCGCCATGTCGTAAAACTCAACAGAAGCTACAGAGGTGTGTGTGTTGTCTTCTGGTTGTGTATGTCGTCCCCCGATGACATAAATAGCATCCTCCACAACGCAGCAGGTGAACTTCTCCCTCCTCTCCCTCATGGACTCTACTGTCTCCCAGCAGTCAAAGCGGGTATCATAGCGCCACACCTGGTTGGATGTTGACACGATGACATTCTTTTTCCCATTCTCATCTCCCTCTTTCACTTCCTCTCCTCCAATCACGAAAAGGAAACCTCCCACTGAGCACACGCAGTGATTTCTCAGTCGGAGCGGGAGACTGGAACTCAGAGATGAAAACGTCCTTCTTCTAGGATCAAACTTCAGCATCTGCTGTTCCGGCCAATCAGGGCTGGATCCTCCACCCACAAGCAGCACACAATTGGGCGAAGCTCTGAGTGTCGACTGTTTGCTTTGTCTGATTGGCTGAGCTGAACCCATCCTGTGGTACTCCAATGCTCGAGTAAGTTGACTTCTGACAAGAGGTGTGGCCATGGCTTTGTGGGTGTGGCTAAGACTAGTGAGGTCAGAGGGGGCTACCAATCCAAAGCGCAGATGACTCAGCAGAAGATTTGATTTCAGCAAAGGGAGGGGCCCATTCATATCCAGCCAATCCAAAGCAAGCTTTATGAGCTCCCGTTCTTTGACACCAGGTATCTCGTCTGCTTCAAGCACAGCCATCAGTGATTGGATATTCAGCCTGAGAAGGTCATCCCTGCTTTCCTGGAGCAATGTCCTCATCTCTATAGCGATGGTTTGATTGGCAGCTTCAAATGCATCTGGGAGGGAGTGATGCTCGGCCAGGTTAGCGTAGCAGCAGCAATTCAAAGGGCTCAAACCATCAGTCATAAAATGCTCGCATATAGACACGGCTGTCTCCACCTGCAAGTACCTGGCTGCTTCCAAGACATCAGGAAGTGACGGTGTTGATATTTTGAGCCAGCCAGAATACAGGAAGTCTAAAATGACGTCTAAACCCTCAGGTGTTATTGCCGGGAGGCTAACGGATCCCGCTAATCTCTCCAAGGTAGTCTCTCCGAACAGAGCCCAAAAATACTCACTGGAGCTGGCCAAAAGAACACGATGACAAGGGAAACATACACCCCCAGCCTCAAGGACAACATCACACATGTTTGTCTGAGCGCGCAGGCGTTGGAAACCAGAAAGAAGTCCGGTTCTGTGGGAGGAACTGTAGAGGAGGGAGTAGCTATCCATCCAAAAGATAATAATTGAAACGATAAGAGAATGAGAGGGAAATATTCAAAAAGGCGTCAAAAGGAGGGCTGGTAAAAGCTTTGTCAGAAGGTAGCAGGAGTGAGAGGGTAGTAAGGACATTGATGACTGTTATATGATATGTAGCCCAAAAGCTGCACTAAAAAAGGTTTGACAGAAAGAAAATCTGACATTTCTAGCAGAACCGCATAAGAGGTTGTTGAAAGCAAGGAACAGGAAATGATGAGAAAAGACAAGAGAGCTGAGAGGAAACGAGTGTAAAGTGCGTGTCCTTAGACGAGGTCTCTTCATCTGTGGTTTTGTCCTGCTCTGTCTGCTGCGGGTATATCCATATAACCATGATAGGACGTTTAAAAACTCTCCTCTACAATCGTAAACACAATCCTCTTTTGGCCCTTGCAACTTGTTCCGTCCCATGTCCTTCTGTCTCCTCTTTGATGTCCCAGCTCTGGTGGCTTTGTATTTGTCCGCTGCCCTTTCCTCTGTGTCCGGGAGGGAGTATCACCCAAATGCATGCATCCAACATACACACCGATTGAGCAAGCAGATGCATCGATGAACACACACGCACATACACACAGGGAGCCTGGCAGGCTTTTAGTGACTATCCCAGTGGATGAACTCATCGGTGAATACAGCTGCTATAGTCTGCAAACCAAGATTCCAGGGCACGGTTGCCACGGCACCTATCTGTGCCCTCATCGCTAGGCTACAGGAATAGAAACACAGACACTGGACACAGGAAGTTTTGCCAAGCTGTCAAAACATTTTACAAGTGTCAAAAGAAGCATTCAACATTTGGTGTTAGAGTAAGCCGTGACTTTATGGTAGGAATTTAAACTTCCTATGACCTGTACTGCTATAAAATGATGCAGATTGATGTCATGCTATTATTTTTATGCAGATGTAGTGGCAGTGATAACAAAGTTTCAATATCAAGCGAGTAGCATTTATGATCAGCTGATTGATGTTGAGCTACTGTGGGATTATACTGTCAGTCCGATACATGGTTACAATTTCATACATTTTTTATTGAGTTATGGTCTCTGAAATAATGTTGGCTCACATTTACAGATACGATACGATATTACTTTATTTGTCAGATCAAGTCTGAAATTTGACTTGCGTCACAGCAGCTCCATGTCCAACATCAACAGACAAATATCCAGACACAAATACATGAAACACAAACAACAAACATTTAACATAACAGCACAATCAGTGAGAGAAAAGCTGCTCAAAGAGCCTTCAGCGTGCATTTGATTTGGATCAGAGAGGATGTTGTTGGACAGCCTCACTAGGTTGTTATGGCTGAGTCATAGAGTCTCTGACAGGGTTGACCAACAATCTTTGAGCAGATTTTTAACAGGTGGAGCAGTTTTGATTTTAAAGCTGCTGACAAACATTTGTACCAGGTAGTATTGATAGATATAGATGAGTGTTTATTTGTTTTAAGGAAAGGTTACACCAGTTTAAAATTCAGAACACAGTCTACTGGCAAAAAAGCAGATTTACCCTTTTTGAAACTGCCAAGTATTTACATCATTCCCACACACATGCTCCTATATGGTTGTTAATACACTAGCATTTCTCTCTCCATCATGACCTGCTGGATGCTAAACTTAGCCACAGTACAGCTGCTCTGTGTGTTTGTCTGTTTGAACATGTGATGTAATGGAGTCTGGTGGTGTGTATGACGGCATGTGGGTGCGCCGTTAATACACATATCTGTATTGAAACTGTTGGATTTGAAGGTTTAACTGGGGATCAATGTGACTCCATGCTCAAAGACACCCCTGACTCCCACCTGATATCCTGTAATACCTATTACATATGCACATAAAACAAGAATATTACAGTGGGAAATATGATGACTCTTCGGGCATCATTTTTCATCACAGTAAACGTGAGGTTTTAATTTCCTCTTGTCAGAGTGTTCAGGGTAATTATGATGGATATTTTTATCATGAATGGATGCATTGTGTCACACTGTGTTAACTGTCAATCTCCTGACACCTACAGGGAAGAAGGAAGCAAACAAAATAATCCCCTTTAAACATGTCCTTTCGCCTTATTTGTGGTGTCTTTGTTAGATGGTACATTGGTCAAAAGCGTTTCAACAATGTAACTATACACGCATAATGGCACATCATTTAGTAGCAATACATTTTATAGATTTTAAAATATATGAACGCGTAATTGGAACATTTTACTAAATAAATAAACAAATTAATGGTGCTGCTGGTTATGCCAAAAGTTTGGGGATTAATTAAAAGTGTGTTTAATTTTTCCTTAACAAAACTTTTATATTTGTCTTCAAATGTTGGGCAATACATCCAATAGTTGTATATTAGTGTGGACAAAGTGATGCAATAAAGGAATCAACACGGCCACCTGTAGAGGCAGATGTTACAAAATGTTAATTAGATAAAGCAAGTATTTCATAATTATTAGAGCAAATCGAAAACATATAAAATATCAAACCACTATTCTCCTTTACTGTAATAGTAGATATAGTAATGAACATAACATTGGATAGAACCATATTGTTTTATTGTAACATTTTCACAAAGATACCAGTTTTTGGGAATCATAACAATAGAACAAGTAACAGATTAAAATCCCCCTCCCTAAAAACAGTACAGTTGAACTTAACTCCCATCGCATCATTTCAAATTGTTAAACATTTAGAAATTATAATATAATTGAAATTCTCACAATGAATCAGTGCTGAATAGTTTGGAGTTTTGACAGTATGGAAAATAAGTGTCATCATAAAGAAGGGGAATCAGAGTTGGTTTTTTGTCAAGTGGATTCCTTAAATGTACAACAAATGTCAACAAAAGTCCTTCTAAGCCAGCTACTTTAGACATAAAACACTCAAAAAAATGTTAAAAATAATTATTCTGAACAAAAACTCACTTACTTAAAGTCTGAGTTAGGTTGAGTCTTGTCTGCAGCAAAAGCAATCCAGAATATCTTGCTTTATCACATTAACGTTTTGTACAAACTATGATTCAAGTTTGAATTTACAGTAGTGACACAACTATCTGACATGGTAAGATACATATGTTTGCAATGCTTTAACCTTTAGAGGACTGATAGAAGAGGTAATGGATGATTGCGTGGTGGTGGTTTTGGTTAAACGCTGAACATTTTCTGCAGCCATTGGCTTCTCAAAAGCTGTTATTGTTCAAACATGTTGGGATTAGATAGTAGTTTGCTCAGTCTTCAGTGGCAGTGGGCGAGTCTGTTTATGAAGATTATCTCTCCTTCGCCTGTTTGGGGATCCTGGAGGAAAGACAGACAAAAAGAGTGTGAGGTTTTTTCTGTCTGGGATTCACGGGGTCTCAGAGCTGCTGACCCGTGATAGGCAGTGAAAAGCAAGGATGACAAGGGGGGTGCCAGGTTTCAGTGATTCAGCCTAATATAAGATCTGGTTGATCTATCAGCTGTTTTTTCTGTCTGCACTTATCTATCTCTTGACCTTTTTTGATTTCTGTTTTCCTCTTTCTTGATCTCCCCTTACCATCTGAAACATTTGCTGTTTATTTCCATCTCATACAAGACTTCTTATTGCAGGTATTCACGTTTCAAGTGTAACACCAGTGGATAGAGTCAAGGAGCTACATTTTTGCTAGTTATGTAATGTTACACTAGACTAGAGCATAGTGAATAAATACAAGAGGCTGAGAGTTAATACAATAAAAGCCTGGGACTTTTGTTGGTAGCTTTAAATGTTGCATTTCATGCGTTGATGCTAAATCATGGTAGTTAGCTATGCTTTCTCTTTAAAGTTGAAATGGTTATGCTAGCTTCAAGCTATGTAAGAAAGGTTTTCAATCTCATTCATTATTAATCGAGAAATTACTTGCTCTTTTATACAAATATTTTATATCAGTTTTCCATCAGAAATCTGGTTTCATTTTTCTAATGTTAGCTACTTATGATGCAGTCTAGAGACATGAACTAAATGTACTTTTAGTTCTCACAGGGATATATTATGTTGCTAAAATGAAGTTGGCACCCCTGTTAACAAACTTTACTAAGACCACTTCAATCTAAAGAAGATGTTTTGCTACAACTTAGAATGTTACTTTAAACAGTTTGGTATTAACTTTGTGTTTGTGTTTGGCACAACTATCAGCCAACATCAGACAAATCCACACTAATGCTCTTGTGGATGAATGGGAACAAATCTGCTGCCTGGGTCCAAAATCTGGTAGAAAATCCTGGAATCAATAGAGTCGAAGATGTAGCATCTCTTAATGCCAACATGGTTTGGGGAGGATATGTTCATGCAGGTGTAATGCTAGGGTGTCAGCATACGTTAGGCCATGTTGTATATAAGACATGGATTGATCAAACTGCCACTTAGAATTGTAAAGTTTTTCCTGATTTGTAACACTTAATTCTCTGCTTTCCTTTGGTTGCTGATGGTTTTTTGTCTCCATCAAATACACATTCAAAGTCAGGCGGATTAAGTGTTCCTGTTTTTATGGGTAGTTTTATAACTTTTTTGGTGTATACTGCTGTTTACCTACTCAGAAATAGCATGTAGTATTGTTTTCTGACTCTGGAAAACAGGTTAATTACTAATATAACTTGAACCACATACTCATGTATCTCCTACACAGCACACCCACATAGTTTGGGCAGGGCAGAAAGTGTTTAGATATTGTGGTTTCTGTGTCCCGCTGAGAAACAGAACAGACAGAACAGTGCTCACACTCATTTTCTAAAACACACACACTTCTAAAAGGTTTCAAAATAGAGCCTGACTCAAACCCTCCTGCCCACACACAGAGGCATAAACACACACGCCTCTTGACCCAAACAAAGACTGTGCAGCCCAGAGTGCCCCCCTGTGGCGAATTCAACCACTGCAAGTCGTTTTTCTGTTACAAAGACATAATGGCATCGTGTTCAGCAGTTTCGTTTCTTGTTGGGTAATAATGATGTACCAATATTTCCTGCTTGAAGCTACATTTTCCTCATATAAAATGTAAACAACATTTTTGTTTTGTTTCACCTAATATGCAGATGTAAAAGAACATTATGTATTGTACCAAGATTCAATATATACTTATGGACATATAATATTAAACGAACAGATAGTAGTTATTTAATTTGTCCAGGATTTTTATGAAATTATATGGGTGAAACAATAATCTGCAAATGAATATATAGACCTTTTGTAATTTATAAAGGTTTAATTAAATATCTTATGCTTCTCAAATATGAGGATAGGATGCATTTCCTTGTTTTGAATGACATTAACATAAATATTATTTTGGCTTTGACTGATTAAGACAACATTTCTCACAAGTTTCGGGTGATAAAAAAGTATCTACTGTAGGACTCTAGGATATGAAAACCTGTATTTCTAGTTAGATAGTCATTCAACTTTTCAGGGATTGGATTTGCATAATTCACAAAGACGGGGCTACTGAGTTTGTGAACTCACTATAGTGCTTTTTCACTTTTGTGTGTTTCTGATTTGCATTTTTCTCTTTCGTTCTGACTACTGCACAATAGAGCTGTGTCAAATATTTGCAAGTAAGCTTCGACTGTGAGTGATCAGTAGGAAAAATTGTGTTTCCAAATAATAATATCAACAGATGCACAAATGACACAACACTCCCTGAAAGTCTTGTTGTCTATGTTCAGGTTTTTGTCTTAATTTTCCAAAAGATATATACAACACTATTTTGGATTTAAATGTTTCATCTTTACTCTACCATATCCACTACTACAGAAGGCTTAGACTAGAAAATAGATGTTAAACCTAAAGGCTTAAGACTAAGTACTAAATACTGTTCATTCTATAAAGATTATAAATAAAATACTCATTGGGTAGCTTTGTTTAAGTACGAGGGAAGAAGATTTGCAATTATTTTTATTACTGAATAGATTTGTTAGGGTTAGGGTTAGTTTTTAGTTTTTCATTTTGGTTGCGCTGGATAGAAAAAATGTAGCAATAACAATTAAAACAAATTTGGTTTAGGGTAGATCATTTTTAAATGATGATTAGATACTGGACAAAAAAATGATTATGTTGTGTTCATAATCTTGTTAATTGCAGCGTAATTCCAATATCAGTTGTTCTCTAACCAAGTTTAAGGACCACATGTTGTTTAGCTCCTTTTCACAACATGCTGTGAGAGGACACACAGACTAAGTCTTTTGGTAATCTGTTTGTACCTTCTAATTATATTTCTTTATCAATTAATTTATAGTGGATAATTAAGTTCTCACAGTGTAATATAGTAGCAAGATCCCTCTTGTGTCCTGCATTTCATTTGCTTAAATATGTACCAAAATATTGACTTGAGTTTTTGGGCAGCAATTGATTTATTTAGTTTCTGTATAACTCCCAAAACCCTATGTAGATTATTGATAATGGAGTATTTTAAAACAAATATTTTACTATAACAACCTATCTGGTTTGATTGAGGTCAGGAGAAAAAAAACATATTCAAATGTATAAATATGATGTTATTATTATAATCTGAACATGAAACATAGAAAGCAATGAGTACATTTAGGGTTTGGGGTTGTTGATATGGTTGCCACCTACATGTTATTCCTTGGTGACCCATCGTAGTTCGCTCTTGACATTCTGCAGCTCTGATAGGTTAACAGCAGGCCCGGGCAGTTTCACGGCGCCCGGCATCGCCTTCTTCTCCTCCGGTGTGGGGGGTGCAGCGCTGGGCTGCTCTGGTAAAGGAGCCTAGGGATAAAATAAATAAATAAGCAGAAGTATTATTATCAATACTGTTATTTGGAAGATGATGATTCGATCTGACTGCTTTTTGCACATTTGTGCACACATGTCTGCACAGCCCTCCACTTTATAATATAATACACTGTAGTTTGCCATATATACTCATTGTCCTAAGTGTTTTTGTCTTTTGTTTTTAAGCTTTTAAGGTTATTTGTATAGTTACATTTCAATTTGGTGTAAATACTTTAGCATCCATTTTTAATTGTTTCTTAATAATACTTATATTGTATTATCCTTATATATTATTATTTTTTACCTACTATTTTTTTTAAATGTTCACACGACCAGATACCAAAGCAAATTCCTTGTATGTGTAAACCAGGGGTGCCCAACCAGTCGATCGCGATCGACCGGTCGATCGCGGGGAGATTCCCAGTCGATCGAGAGATGTGTCTAAAAATAGAACAACAATATTCAGTTTTATCGTTAATGTCCTGTAACTAGGGCCGGGACTCGATTAAAAAAATTAATCTAATTAATTAGAGGCTTTGTAATTAATTAATCGAAATTAATCGCATTTTTAATCACATATAAATATTTGACCTAAGAACAGTGAGAAGCAATTTTTTTCACATGGATTTTAGTATACCATTAGGCGCATTCACACCGCAGTACTTTTCCCACAAAGGTTCATGAGAACTCTTTGAACCTGGGGGTGGATTAGGCAAATGAAGCCGCTGACGTCACTTCTTCTTCTTCTGCTTTGGGTTTACTGGCAGGCCGCAAACCACTTCACGGCGTATACTGCCGCCCAAAGTCCCCGGCCGGAAGTCCCCGGAGTTGGGGACTGGCTTCAGTAGAAGCTGCTGGGAGTCCCAGCAGCCTTCCGAGTAAATCGCCAGAACGCCGACACCTCCTCATCTCCACCGCTCCCATGTTTTATTTTGTGTTGCCATAAGTTAGTCTCTCTGCGTTTCTGCGCTGGGCTAATGCTAATAATGCTAATGCATGAAAAAAAAATGGCGGCTTCACAAAACTTTTTGGGAGTTTTACGGGGCGTGGTTTGCAATCCGCCCAGCCAATCAGAAATATAGCTCTTTTCTCACAAGAGAGCCGTACGAAAGTCCCTGCTCTCTAGCAGCTCTCTGCTCTCTAGCAGGGACTTTCGTGGGGGTAAAAAGGTTCTCATGAACTAATTTTAGTACCGGCTCTTTTTGGTGTGAACGCGATAAAAGAGGCTAACGTCCACGCTAGCTTCCACGCTAGCTGCTATATGTTTTGCATTGAGGTGATACTTGAGGCTTGATGTGCTGCGGTGATATGCGAATTCCTTTTTGCATAATTTGCACACAACCGTGCTCTTATCGACGCTTCCATCCGTCCGTTTTTTAAAACAACATTTCCCACTGTTGTTCACTGTGGTTTGTTGTTGTCTGAAGTCATGAACGTTAGTTGGTGCTCCAGTATAATCGGTACGCCTGAAACTCATCCAGTGAGAAACGTCCCGCGGTGCAAAAATAAGTGCGATTAAAATGCGTTAATTTTTTTAACGCGTTAATTTTTGTGTAATTAATTAATCTTAATTAACGCGTTAAAGTCCCGGCCCTACCTGTAACATAATCTTCCTGTGGCAGAATAATGCACTTGAACGCATCAAAGCTTTGTGATTGGCCGGCGTGACCCCATGTGTCGGGGCGTGGCTGGTGAGCAGTGGGCAGTGCACTAGTTCGCTAACGTTGTCCGTAGGAGTGACAGTCTGCGGACTGTCACACACAAGACCGCAATTATGGCAGAAGCAAAACATATATAATTTTCACTCCGAGTGGGAGGATGATTATTTTTGTATCTATTCTAATTCAAAGTCCATCTGTCTCATCTGCAATGCGAGCGTGGCTTTATCGAAGAAGGGTAATTTAGGAGCGGCATTTCAAAACAGTGCACAAACGCTCCGAGACGGAATTCCCTCCTAATTCTGCCCTACGCTCCAAAAGGGGAGGGGCCTGAAAGGACAGCTACATGCACAGCAGTCCATTTCCACCAGGCCCAACAACAAGAGCAAGGCTGCTACCATAGCATCTTATCGTGTCAGTCACGTTCTTGCGAAACACATGAAGTCTTTCAAAGACGGCGAAGTTGTGAAAGAAGCATTCCTGGAGGCTGCCGATGCGTAATAAAAATAACAGTAGCATTTCAACAGGTTTTTGATATGATAAAAACTCAAGTTAGATACCGTTATTAATCAGCTGTAAGTTTGAGTTTGTTTGAACTTATTCATTATAATTATTGTACAAAATGGTATAATAATGCAAACTTCAATTGATTATAGTCTATTATCAATTCAGGTTAAGAAACTAGTGTTGCTTGCATCCTATTTTAAAGGCATTTCTTTTTATAATCTACTAAAATGCAACAAAAAAAGGGTTTGATTCTATTAATTTTGTCTTTTTTATTGCACTGTTGCAGCAGATTCCTGTGTAGCTAGTAAGCCTCATTTATACTTTTGTAGCAACACTATTTTTTATATAATGGCAAAGAAAGGGTTCAGAGTATTTTCTTTTTTTCCTGTGTCATATGTGGCAGCACTGTTCAATGTGTCTTGAAAACATTACCCACTGTAGTATGTGACGTGTGAATAAACTCCAACTCTGTATCAACAACACTGTTGTGTAACTTCAGTTAAATACTTGTATGTGTGTAGATTAGAAAGAGGTAAGATAAAGGATCTGCAGTATTTTATGAAGTGTTAATCGTACAAAGGTCAGTTTTATACAAGTAGAAGTGTGTATTTACCTGGTAGTAGGCTGTCAGTAATGGCTACGCCCGTCTATTTGGACTGGTAGATCTCGGCAGACTGGCAACTTTAAAAGTAGCTCTCGGTTCAAAAAAGGTTGGGCAACGTACCTGGCAATAAACTTGATTCTGATTCTGATTCTGATTAGTTCTTCAAAATTCAAAACGCTCAGTTACTTTATTAAAACAGTAGTTTTAGCGTTTAACATTACCACTAAGACGGTATGACAATTGTCTTATGTACCTTTGTATTAACTGTCAACATTATACTCTTATTTTTAAAGAGATTTGTTTTATAGGAATGTGTTTTACCTTGTGAAAAATAATATGCCCTAGAAGTGTTTAATTTGAGATAACATATGATGTTAAGTCTGCAAAATAACAACAGAGCCTAAAGGCAAACCTCCAAATAGTTGGTGAGATACAGTAGTTGCCAAGCCTTAGCTTAAGCTAAATGTAGCAATCCTTCCAAACGTGTTTCTTTTACAGTTGAACCCTTTTGATAATTACCAGCCTAAGTTAGCAAAATGGTTTTAACCACCATCTCAGACACTCACCACCTAAGGTTTTACGTTTTTTGGTTTGTAAATAGGCATCACATTAAAAAAAAAAAAACTGGTTTTGAGTCTCAAATGTTAGATTATATTTATTCTTAACTTCATCATAATTCTTGTTATCTGTGTGTGTATGGCAGCATATGTGTGAGTAACGTTGATGAAAATTAAGCAGTAGCACATGGACACGTTGGAAGTGTGTTTTGTAGGTTAATGCAATCCAAAAATACTCCACTCAGACTACTTATATGTCATATTATATTATGTTACTTGGGTAAGTTGAAAAATAGATAATAAAATGACCACAATTAAGGAAATGTATGTCGTTCCCAGACAAAAGCTACATTGTGACATTTTCTTTTATTCCAACTGGGTAATGTTTTCTTTCACTGTCCTGTGTTTGTGTGTGAGTGTAATCTCTGTGTTCTCTTACCTCTTCTGTATCTACTGTCTCCTCTCTCCTCTTGACAGGATGTCCCGCCCCTGGACGCAGAGCTCCCATCGGGATGTTCAAATTAGCCTGACGGACAGAGAGATCACTTTAAACACATTTCCTTTCGCCGCATGTGTGTGTATGTGTACACCTGCTGTTCCTCAAAACCCCTTGTTTTGATTATAGCCACTACTTCCTGGTTATCATGATGTCCCTAAAAAGGGCGTTATGTGTTTATGAAAATGTGACAGAAAACAAACACACACACACACAAACACATGCAAACCACACATACACAGCTCAGTGATTTGCCTGCTTACTTGATGTTAAACTGCTGCCTGTCCCTAGTATCCTGTCACTTGGATTTTCAAGTGTTTTTGTTTTTTATTGTACTGTAATGTACTGTATTGTATATATTCTCATATTGTACAGCTGTACAGAGAGTGAGTGTGGTCTATGTCACTGAGGACGAGGGGCTTTACTTTTTTTCCAGAGTATAAGGTTTAAAAGCCTGGAAGAAACCGCCTCAACCGCAGCACGTTTGCTCAGATTTGTATCTCTGTAAAGTGGCTTTGGCTGGGGTTGTTAACTGTCTTATGCTTAGCGAGCTGTCAACAATCATCTACTGACGTTTCAACTAAAGGTTAAAAGAATGTTTCACCCTATATTGGATATAAAATCATAATTTGACATTTATGGAAACAAGTTTATTTGCTTTCTTGTAGAGAGCAAGATGAGAAGATATCACTCTAATATTTGTCTGATAGGTGAAGCTAGGGCCAGAATTAGCTTAGCATAGCATAAAGGTTTGGGAAAGCAGCTAGACTAGCCATGTCCTAACATTGATGGAAATCTAACAGCACGTTTAAAGCTAATTGATAATATGTTATAACTTACCTAACCCTTTCACACTAGCTGTTTCCACTTGCATTCAGTCTTTATGTACGAGAATCTTATCAACTATCTCAATCCTATAGAATTATTTGAGTTAATTTACATTCAACACTGCTTATTTTTCATATTTATTATTTCCATCCAAATGATTACTCCGTTATCCTACTTTTAGGTGCAACATGTAGCCAGGGCTATGTTAGTTAAATATATGTATTGGAAAGTAAAAACCATGAAAGTCCAGTGTAGACTTTATGATCCACGCTGGAAACATTTGGGAAGTGTATTGCACCTTTTATTGCTTGCCTTTTGGAGCAATAAAAACATGATAGGCTACAGGTTAATAATATGGGAGAAGGCTGAGGTAAGAATAGAGATTGTAGGCTGTATGCCGATCAATCCGACAAATACATCTTGGCCTATATTTGTCAAATAAACAATATTTATTTGTAAACTAATTTATTTAAAGCTGACTTTTAGAGGAATGGAAACGTCTCATTGGATAGCAGACCAATCAATGAAAGGCTTTATTACGCACCTGTGGTGTGCTTGAGTAGAGATATAAAGCAAGCTGATTCATTCCTTTTATTGATTGGAACTGCCAGACTGTCCTTATTTGTCAGCTAAAGTAAAATTCACATTGATTTAACTTTTTAGTGGGAATTTATGGAACCAGTCAGCCAAGTGTTTTGTTCTGCTCAGGCCATTTGGTTACGGAGTATTCATGATATTATCAAACAATAATTTGATACCCCTCCGCAGTAACTCTGTTGAAGACATTTGGATTACATGCAAAATAGCTGTATTGAAAATCAATGTAGGAAAGGCGGTATATTGTATATGTGAAATATAAAATAGATTTAAAAACAACTAGATATAGAGCTTTTGAAGACGAAGGGTTATATTTATGAAAATTATTATAATGTAAATCTGTACAGTTGTTTTTGTTTGTGATTCATTTGAACTAATGGTGGAGTGCTGAGACGAAGAAACCTCATGTTTGTACTGTACTTTTAAACTGTACTAGTTTAAAAGTCGCCTGTCCAGATGCCTATCCCATGGTTAGACATGAAAATGAGCACAATGAGAAGAGAAGGAAGAAACCCTCTCCCACATGCACGCATAAAGCCATTACATCTCAAATACAGACATTTTTTACACACACAGTGATACAGGCAACTTTCCATCCTATGCCTCGCTAAAACTCAGCACTTATAAAGCCTTGATACTACTGTAATATGCACTGTCTGAACGCTGTACTTGCCTTTGCCAATAAATACTTAAATCTGGAAACTTTATTTTCAACAAGTTAGAGAGTTATTGTGCTTGTGTGGTTGAAGCTTTAATGCAATAACTTAGTGTTCTTGTTGTGTAATTGTAAGTAAAACATGATGTTTTTGAAGTCATAAAACAAAGTTACATTTCAATGCAGGAAAAACACATTTACGCCTTATTGTGCACACAAATATTTTACCTGAAGGGCCTTAACGTTGGACGAAGGTTTGGACATAATCCCCCCCGGTAAGTCCACTGACCTCGAGAAAGCACAGATCACAGACATTCAGCTGTGTGTGTATGTGTGCGTGAGTGTGCGTGTTGGGGGCATTGGGAGTCTGTTTCTGTGGTTTTAAAGGGACGGGATAACATTTCAGTTGCTTAGCGACTCTTACAGAGAGAAGCAGGTAGAGGAACTGTTCTCTGAATCATTCATGAGAGGGAGAGAGCAGGGAATGTCAAAATAAAACAGCTTTCAGCAAGTGTTTGAGTGAGAACATTTGCATTGAGCATAGAATACATGGCAGGAGAAGAAGGAAATGTTAATTTGGTCACCTTTTACTGAGCAGCAGCCACAGGTTCATAGGTTATTAACCACACTGGATTCAATTCAAATCTCAACAAAACACATGAACTCCCATTATGGTGTAATGTTGTTAAAGATCACAGCATATTACAAGACAAGGTTAATGGTTAGTGATCTAACTGTAGCTAGCATCTATCACTAACTTAAAACTTTGAAAGCCTAAACCCGAAGTGGATATTTAAGACCCTTTTAAGAACATGTTCCTTTCACAATGAGTTAGCTGGTTATTTTTTCTCTTGTTTAACAGATCAAGTGGTTCCTAATCGTAAAAGTTTGCATGGCCTATTTATCTTATCTACAAAGTGGCTCAGAGCAGAGCAGGGAACCAAAGAAAGTCACAGGCTCTCCGGCAGCTGCGATCTATGGCAGCCCCTTAGTTACCGTTGCCAGGGTGCTGTTTGTGTACACACAGTAAAAGCTCTGCTGTCCTTGACATGAGAGCAAAAGCCGAGACACCCCAAAATACACTAGCACTAACTAACACACACGTGCTTACACATTGCGATGATATTTAAGTTGGCTGGGAGTAGCAGCTGCCCCCTGATGCCCCCCAAATCCTCACAAGCCTTTCACTTTTACCCATACTGTGTGACTATGTGCACACTTACACACCCTCCCTCCACATAATCTCATAAACTCAGGTACAATCATTCTTTGAATTATTTAAATCCTCAATTATTAAAACCTCAGTGCCTCTAACAGAAAGGCTCTTTGAGGTACAGCATGTTGGATGTTGTGAGTGTGACAGCATGTTTCAATGTGTTATCTAGCTGTATATGAAAAGTAAACAAATACTTAGAGTTCTCGAGCTATAAACTGAACAACTAATGCATTTATTAAGAAATGTGTCCTTTGCTTAATTAATAATAATAAGGCTGGTGATGTGAGTTTACAATGGCTAACATGAGTTTAACTTTTTTGGTTGTGAAATATCTTAAGTATTGGTTGGATTCGACTTCAAATATGATCCCTAGTTAATAAAGTTTTACTTTACTTTAGTTGAAATTACTCTGGTTTACTAATCTAAAAACACTTGCAGCCACAACAGGTTTGAGGTTTTACCTACTTATTTGCAAATATTAGCATACTACCAGGCTAAACTAAAATGGGGAATCAGGATACCTTGTCATTGTAAGCACTATGTCCTAAACAAAGCATGGTTGGTGACTGTTTGTTTTGTGTTCTTCACACAATTGTTTTGACAGATGTTCAGTAGGTACCATTGAGAATGGAGTTGAGTGCCACAGGCAGGAAAGGACTGGGAGATGGATTAAGAAAAAAAGTCAAATGGAAATAATCCAGTGTTCAACTTCAACTTCTCAATTGCATTACAGTATATGGAAACTTCCGGACTTTTCCAATTAAAAAAATAATGTTACAAGTAGAATATTACAACAAAAATATAAACCTTGTTTGCCATACTCAATGATTCTCAAACACACACTCTCACCTACACAAAAACAAATCATATAACTTACCTATTGATGACACAATACTGTATTATCTAATGCTTGATTTGAAAGGGTAGGAGTTCTCACTTGTTCAATAACAATTTTCTACCCATCTCTCAAACACGTGTTATCATCTCCGTCTTTTTCTTTCTCCTATCCTCTTCTCTCCACCCTCTCTTTTTCTCTCTCTCGCCCTGCCTCGTAAGTGGTGGAAGGATTCCTCTCATATCTGGGATTTGTTCTCACTATAAATAGAAGAGTGTTACACAGAAGGGACCTGCTTTCCATCCACACACACCGTTGGACACACATGAGCACGCTGAGTGACGGACCAAAACATTGTCAAACATCACTTGGATATCTTAACTTTAAGCATATATTTTTTTAACTACAGTAACAGTAAAATGCTAAAAAGAGAGAAACTATTTAAAACTGGCAGACCACACTTTAATCACATATTGCACATTAAAGCATGGAGCACTCAAACACAAACGTCGGTGTAGATGATACTCACAAATGTATGCTATGTTTCTTTCTGCATCTTCATTCAAACCTGACACTTGAATCTTTAAAACACCAGTGACTAAAATGGCCCTGGCCTATTTCTGCTCTGACACTCAAAAACTCAGAAACAAACACACATATACATATGCTAGTATATCTAAGCTATACAGTGATACATCTACAAGCTCAGAGGGGAACTGTGATCTCACAGAGTTAAAGGTGTGAGTGTGTATGTGTGTGTGCTCTCTTACCTCCTGGCGTGCGTGGCTGCTCTGCCCTGCCTGCGCTCTCTCTGAGGTCCTCTTTGGCTACCTGACCTGTTTCTGCTCGTCCTGATTGGCTCAGAGAGACAGGAAGCTCCTCCCTGAGAGGAATCTGACCCATCATGAGAGAATTAGACTACATTTTCAGCCACTGTGTGTATGTGTGTTTTTGTAAATAGATATGTTCCCTCATATTCTTGTCAGTTTTTCTACCTACCTTTCGTATAGGAATTTACAAATTCTGTTGGAGTTGTCCACCTTCATGGCATCAAACCACAGTTATTACATGAAACTAGTCCATGTGTGCATGTAGTAAAATGAACAGACGCGAGCTGTAGCCTTGTTATAAATGTGAGACTATGCAAATGCATCTCACACACACACTGGTCCTACTGTACTTGTTGGAAAGGACAACCCTCACATATTACAGATTAACACCATCATCACTTAATCTGTTTATTGTGTTTTACAACATGCTACAGCTGAATAGCCTGCTATTGATTCTAGATGGCAGAAGTTTTTGCAGTAAACTGGGACATTGTAAGTGCAGAAGTCTGAAGCTGCTTTTCAGGTGGGTTTGTGGATATGGATCTAAACAATTGTGATACAATAGTTTTCTGTTAGATGCACACATGTGGACTAGTTGTTGCTATTTTATGGCCTATAGGCAAACAGTGAACCTAGAGGGGAATCTATGTCTGTGCCTCTGTATACATCAATGATCTGTCCACTGTACAGTTGACTGTACAGTGAAAGACTACAGTCGCATAACTTCTTGATTATGATATGACAACAAAAACAGCTATGCGAGGTTAAGTAAAAGACCATGCTTTAACTAAAAATAAATATGTTTTTAAAGTATTTTTCATTTTACACAGTATAAAGCATCAGATAATGGATGGCCGAGATCTTACTGCTCCATAGTTTCTCTTCCATAGTGTTGTATTTGTCAGATAGTTTACATATTTTTTCTTCACGGTCAACTTTTATACTTTTACTCTTTCAGTTCTGTTTTATCTGCTATTTTGAGATGTTTATATTGTATAATTGTTTATTTTGTACTCTTTTTTTATTTCTAATTATGTGCAATATTTTCTTATAAGATAAGTGGAATATATATTGCGATAAAAAGTGTTAATTGTGAAAACAAATCAAATGCAAACAATAACGCTAGTGCATACATGGACAGTCTGATAACATTTCTAAAATGGTAATTTTAATTTAATTGCTAAATGCAACCAGCAACCCTTTTTGGGATCACACTTATAGCCAAATAAGGCCAGGGGCATACAAAGGTGGTGCCACTTCCTACAATGCTTAGAACTTTGGTTGGACCAGACTCATCTTTAACCTCGGCATTCATTTATATCTCAACCGCTTAGCTGTAAGTTTCATGATCTCATCTTGCACAATAAGGACTTTATTGCGTTGACAAAATAAACACCTAAGGTACTCAACCATGGGCGTAGGAAGCATCCTCAATGTGGGTGGGACAATTTGATGGGGGTGTGGGCAGGTTGTGGACCTCACCTCCGGGGTCCAGGGGCATGCTCCCCAGGGAAGATTTTTTTTTAATTGTTGAAGTTAAATGCATCAATCTGCTGCACTTTGAGAGCAACATAGGGACTAAATCATACATCTCTCAACAACACCCATGTGAAACAGAACTGTTTAAAACAGACTTACTTTTTCTTTATGCATATTTTTACAAATCACTCCCCTCTCTCGTTCACTCTCTCTCTCGCTCGCTCGCTCGCTCACACAAAATGCGCTCGTCGTGCAACACACACAGCCAAGGTATGACACACAAAGACCCAGAATAACTTTTAATGCTGTATCCTATTATTTTCGATGGCTTTATTGTATGATATGACAGATGAACAGATTGCCACTGGGCTTACAACTAAAGACACAGCTACGCAAAAAACGCAGCATGTGTACAGCTCATGTTTACGGCTCTGAGAATCTGTCTTGGTACAAAGTATCAGTGAAAACATGGTACGGAGTTTCATTGATTTGGGCATTCTCACAATAAGCAAGTGGAATGGATTTGATAATGAAGCACTGACACAGCGCTCTACAGAGTGCGGCGAGTGGATAGACCGATGCACGGACTTTCCACATGGTAAAAGTGGGGGGGGTCAAAACTAATCATTTTAAAAGTTGGGGGGGACTTGTCCCACCTTCATATAATGGCTGCGACGCCCATGTACTCAACACTACTTATGTGTTAGTTCCCACTACAGTGGGTATTTCAAGAAGCACATTTTGCCATGTTGACACATACAGACTTACAAGGTTAGAACAATAGCCTACTCAATTCACGGCTGACAATAGATTAATTGAAAAACATAAATAAATAATAGAAGATAACTTCATAATAATGTACATATGTTTTCTTAAGTTCTCTAGTTGAACACGTGGGGGCGGTATCGCTCTGTTTGTTTGATCTTCATCATTACAAAAGAAACAGAAGAAGCTCTACCCGGAAGTGTTGTCGCACAGGGCTGACTGTTCATTCTCTGCAGATCATCCCTCAAAACAAACGTCTTCTTCCCTTATTAATTCAACACGACATGTTAACGCTGTTATGTTGTGTTAAACAAAAATGACTGCGGCTAGCTGCATGATAAACCACGGGAAGACGGAGTGATGGAGACAGCGCAGTTGTATTATCTGTGTAACCGAATCTGAAGCACCATGATCCCTGTGCCTCTGCTGGTGTGTGTGATGGGAGGCTGGTGTGCTGTCTATCTCACCGACACACTATTAAAGGTGAATATATGTCAATGTTACATGGATACATTCATGGATAGTTGTTTCATTAGCCAACCGTGTAATGTTGCAATGTGCCTTTTGTTGCAATGTGGTTTAGGAATAGCTCTACTTTGTTCTCCCCAATCTATTGTATGCTATTATTATGGTTATGTCCACTATAGTAGCTGCAAATGTGTGTGTGGGAAAATGACACGACTAAAATGTAGCTAAGCTATGTAGTTATAGCTTAACCCATTTCAAAATGAATGTTTACCTCCTTAAATTGGCCATTAAAGCCTTTATTGTCAGCAGTAATGGACAAGTTAAATAACGGTAAAACAACAACATGACATAACAAAAAAAAAGTAATACCAAATGTGTTGTCAAATTAACTAGGCCTACAACAAAGAAAGTGGATTAGCAAAAGTATAGACCAACATGTGGATTGTCAATTTGGAGACATTGTGCTTTTTTCTTGTGGAAAAAGTAATAATCTGTCTGCCAATTTTTCATTTTAGTTTTTGAGTTACTCTATTAAAGATTTAAGCAAACCTACAAAAATGTAAAGTTGTAATTAAATTAAGATTATTGGTTGACAAGATTTTACAGTTTTATTGCTATGAAAACAAATATTGCTGCAATGCTAGTACTGGTAACATAACTGCACATATTCAATATTTAAGTGATTCTTTATAGAAATGTGTCTTTATAATAAAAACAGATATTTTCCGATAAATTGTTAGCAGAAATCTTAAAAGTCTCTTACTGTAAATCAATGCTTTTTGATCTTTTGGTTATTGTACTCTTGGATAACATTTTCTACTTTCCCTTCTGCAGTCGTCCGTGAAACATAGGATCAGGTACGAGTCATGGTTGGCCGGTCGAGGACTGATGCTGTCTCCTTTCCATGTGAGATGGCAAACCACCATGTTCAATCGACTGTTTGCGTACTGCGCCCGCATCAACCCCAGAGCCCAATACTTGTGGTAAGGACTTATGTTTCATTATTAAACTGCACTTATCCTAACCTGGTCCTGAATCATTTCTGTATTTTTCTGTATTTTAAAATGAACTCTATATTCATTTATTTTTTCTCATTGGTCCTACTTAAGCAATTTTTTTAATTATTGATTCAGTATAACAGATAATATTTTTGATTACACAAATATACAAACAGAAAGTTAAACAAGTCTAACAGGAGAGGTCAAGAAGCTCTAGCAACATACAATATGCAACAAATATAATTCAGATACAAACTACAAATATTTTATAAAAAATACGCTAAATAGTATACACATAGTACAGTAGGTGATTAGGTATGTGGTCGTTCTTACACAGCTCAATTAACTCTTTAGAAAAGGCACTGGTGTCTTCATCTTCTCATCAATCATATATCCTCCGGTTGGTGCTTATGATGAAAAAATGTACTGAACAAATAGTTTCCCAAATAATTAATGAAATGTCCTCATCAAGCTTTCCAGGGTAAATAGAGTCCTTTTAATAAAAAAGGTTATTCCTAATAAAGTTTCAGAAACTAGTAGCAATGCCAAATTTCGCACCAATTAAGTTTTACTTAGGGGTGGCTCAGCCTTTACTTTTCAAAACTGCTAAAAACTTTCATTTTCACTCATAACATAGTGTTCAGCTATACCTATCACTCAACATAATGTCTGCTGAAGTACTGCAGTGATGATTCTGGTTCATCTTTTCTCATCAGGTAATGGACAAGTGGGCCAGTCTTCCAAAATCCTGATATTATACTGTGCCTCTGTCTCTGTGCAAGCTTTAATTTAGTCATGTATGTACAGATGTAGCACGTCATTTCGGATGCCCCTACCCATGTGGGTCTGCACGGGGTGGGCTCTCGCTGAAAGGAAAACCCCCCGCATGACTTGATACGCCCCCTTGATAAATACATTTAATTATAATAAAACCAGCTGCA